TCTGATAAATTAATTATTGCTGAGAAAATACCGCTGGAAAATATTTTATTTTTTGTAGTGTGTTATGATGTTTGGAGGGAAAGTTGCCTCCTAATTTTTTTATGTTAAAATTCTTATGCAACATTTATAAAATGTAACTTTTTGTTAAAAATAATCCAAAACTTTATAACTGTTCTCATAAACATTTAAAGGGACATTTATAAGTTATTGTCAAAGATAAATTATAGGAACAATTGAAAATTGTTCTCGTTAGTATTTTTGGGAACACTTTTTGAGTGTTGCAAGAATGGTCTTGGCAACAGACACAACTTGTTGCCTGATATTTTTCTAGGCAGCAATTTGCACATGTTGGATAAAAAAAAATGTTTCCATATACAATAAATACTATAATTTGTGCGTACCATATCACTACCCGTGCAAACGCATCGGTATCCCACTAGTTATGTTATTGAAGTTTTGAACAAACTTATAAAAAGATAAATCGTACTTTTGTAGTTTTTTTTATAACATACTTTTGTAGTTTTAGGCATATGGAAAATAAATCTATTGCACCTCATGACTTTCTCAAGGTCCCCATAAAAATATAATTTTGTCCTCTTTTAAAAATAAGCTTTTAGATGTATGTGTGATGAAAATCTTACTTATAAAAAAAATCTTCGAAAGAAATCAAACATAAAATCAACATATGCTTCAGAAAGAAGCTTTTAGACCTCTCCCTTTCTTAGAAAAAGAAATCGTAGGTAAACATACAGTTAACAATGTAAAATTCAAAAATAAATCCGCAACTAAAATTATACGACATAATTTTCTTTTATAGCTAAAGAAATTGCAGCTAACTCCACATCTAACAATGCAAAATTTACAGATAAAATTACACGGTGCATCTAAAAAGAAACTTCAAAACAATTTTCTTTTGAAGAAAAAGCAATCACAGTTGTTTAGAAAGCTTCTTTTTCAAAAGGGATAAAATTAAAATATTTGTAAGATTTTTCAGAAATACATAAAATGTATTCAGAATCCTAAAAAGATTTAGTTGTTTAAAAATTAAAATTCAAACCAGCTTTTATTTTCCATTGCAAAAAAAAAATGCGAGTTTTCATGGAAGTCCTATTCGGTTTGTACGGGTCAAGAAGAATGGCCTAGGTCTTTCTAGAAGGAACCGACCCACAAAAACATAAGATAACAAGCTACAACTGAAACTAAAACTCTATATTCAATAGTTAATAGTTAATACATTATTAACAATAACAAATCATAAACTCATTTGGTTTGTGTAACCGACACGAACTCTAAAAAACACGAACGCAGAGAAAAATGGTTTTTGAAGTGATAAGAATGAGAGAGAAGATAAAGAAAATGTATAAGGAAAGGAAAGACAAACAGAGATTGAAAGTTTAGAAGGAAAATAAAGCCAAAAAAGATGCTCGTATTCAAAGGGAAGCCATTGAAGCTGCTCAAAGATCTTGTTCTATTGACACTGCAAAAGTTCAACTCAAGGTATAAACAAATCCCTCTTTACATTTTTTTTTGCTTTTCTTCTAATGCAATCATCAATGGACTCTTCAAATTAATCTCAAACATTTATTAGAATTAAATGGGAAATCACTAAACCTCTCTAAATCTAAAATGATGCTTTATTCCTTCATAAATGTCATAGATAAAAATCCAATTGAGTATGTCATCTCAGTATAACTTGTGAGGGCAAGGCAAGGTGTCTCAGTCATTCTTTTAATGATGTCAAAATATGTAGCAGCTCGTACTTTGTAATTTGAACGATATCATCGTGTCATAGCTTGCATTCATGCGTTACAATGTACAAAATATTCTAAAGTCATGTGTCTTTACATATAGTAGCATCTCATATATGTTTTGTGTGCATTTGATCATGTTAGGAAACTTAAGTTTGCACAAACATGGTTTAGGTGATTCAAGATATGAGCAAAAATTTATTTTTGGAAGTCTCAGGTGTTTGAGTCGACTCAAAGCCTTGCTCAGGTCGACTCATAAAAGTTGATTTTTTATCTTTTGCTCACGGGTCTACTCGCGTCGACCCTTTGGTCGACTCATACTGTGACCATTTCAATTTTTCCTTTTTAAGCAAGTTTGTGTCAAGGCATGGCCCTGTTCCAGTCGGCGCATAACTTAATTTTCTGCATAATTTGCATTCGAGTGTGCTCAAGTTGACCCCCCTCCTGCTCAGGTCGATCGCTCGCTAACTTATGACTATTTTACTGATCTGATATGTTTTAAAATTTTGTTATGTTTTTTAGTTGGTCAAGGCATCACATATATTCATTTAGTCTCATCATTTCAACACATAACAAGAAAAGTGAAAGATATACACTAAGTTGTGCTCATCATCTTCATCCATATTCTTGCATTTTCTCAATAATTACACATAACAATTTTTGTTGATCTTTTGCATGATTGAGGTGATAACATCCAAATGTAGGGTTGTATATCTCATTATATCTCATTAGGATTGAGATTTCGATGGGTTTTTCTTGAATAAAACCGTTAGGTTTTGCTCTCAAAGATCTTGAGAATTTGGGGGGTTTTTGCGCAAATCTTAGCTTCACAGATTCAGCTGAGCAAAGGGGATTGAAGAATGGTGGGTTCGTTCAATCAAGTAGCGTTAACTGGAGGATTGTGTAAGGAAGATTTGGGTTCGAACGGTGTATGATCAAAATCAGCCGAGTGAAAGGTTTAAAGATCGATGGAGTTGTTCAAACAAGTATCGGTAACCGGATGTTTGTTCAACATGTTCGAGGCACTCAAATCGTCTTGAATCAAGGGGAGAGAAGACGTAGTATCAAACTCAACAACTAGATTTGAGTGTGGTGACTATTGATTCTCTTGTATAAACTTTTGCAACAAGATAATACATATCTCAATTCTAGTTTTAGAATTGGGGGCAGACGTACCATAAACGAGGATGAAAGGGGAACTGCCTAAATAAATTCGGTGTTGTTCTCTCTTTCTCTAGTGCTGAAAATCTGGTTTGAAAACTCATTACAATCACTTGGATTGTAATTGCAAAAATTTTGCACTTATATTACATAGGTGGAGTGTTTTGCACACCAAGTATTCGATGAATTGATCGCACACAAACTGTTTGTTATATTTTCAAATTAAGTTTAACTTTATAAGTCATTGGAAACTGGACAAACTAAAGTGGTATTATTTGTATTGATTAATCATCAAACTATTTATTCTGTTTCTCATTAGATTTGTTGTTCCATTTGACTTGTTGCATATCCGATCTTTTCAGTAACAGTTCGTTTAGACGACTTGGATCCTCGGCCGCTTCCGCATAATTTTTTAAAATCAAATCTTTAAGCACCGACTCTTGTAATAAATTAGTGATCTATTTAACCCTCCTTCTAGATCATTGTCATCATCGTCTAACATAATTGACACAAAAAATCTAAAGCAACAATAAAATGTTAAAAAATTTGATGCAATTTTGACAGGTCTAAAAAATATCTTTGACAATTTTTGAATCAGCAAACAATATGTAATTATACACATACTTATTTTCAACCAAGAATTTTAGTAGATATTGTCTTTCTAATCTTAGACTTCTGATAAAATATCTACATTTGCATCATGTATTATAAATGTGTTTGATAGTAGTTACATTATGACCATTTATTTTCTTCGACATCTTTAAAATATTTCTTGGAATAACCATGTTATTTATCATCTCACAAATAACCTTCACATTTTTCATTTTTAGGCGCTCTGAATATTTATAACCTTCAAAGAACTTTATCAACTTATGACTGTGTACCCCATTCACAATGTTAACACTTCATAGAGCAAAAATAAATAAAAATCCCTCATTCTGAATTGACACTCATATTTCAAATATTCTATAATTTTTTTATTCTTCTTCTTATTGGACGATTGATACATCTTCTTTCACATTTCAACCGAAGAAGCATAATTTTATTTTTTTCACTTGAATATGATCTTGAGATAAGAATAGTAAAATCTAACTTATGCGCTAAGGGATGGTAGTTGGACTCAGGGCTATTGGCCAAGTAATTTTGGTGGCCTTCTCATTTTTTTCATTGAAAAACTCATGATGTGTCTATTTTTAATGGTGTCTAACTTATATTTTTTACCTTTAAAGTTTTTCAAAGATTTTTTACCTTTTTATATTTTTGCATTGAAAATTGACAATGTTTTTATTTTATAATGACATGAAACATTTTTTTTTTGAAGTTTTTCAAATATGATAATTTGATACAGATTACAATTGACATGTCATTCAAAAATAGACACATAATCAATTTTAAGTGCAAATATGATAAAGGAAATAAAACTGTTTAAATTTAAAATATAAAGACTAAATCTATAAATGAAGTAAAATATGAGAGACAAAAACTCTAATTAAACCTATTATTTTATTATAAAATGAGCTATTTAATATATTTTCATTTAAAGTTTTTATTAAAAATTTATTTTTAATTTATTTAGTCAAAATTATATTACATTATAAAAATTATTAAAAAAAAAGTTAAACCAAACGGACCTATAATCCATTCATTCAAAATCAATTTTTTTTCACTAAATAATCAAACACACACACTCTAAATTAATGGGTAGAAAAATTACAGATTATATTGTTGAACTTTTAAAAGAACAAACGAATAACAAGACAAATTGTACTTTTGTAGCTTTAGGGGGTAAAGCTTTTTCTTAGTTTACCGATTAAAATTCAAACGAGCTTTCATTATTCAATACAGAAAAAAAAGTAGTGGGCTTTCATGGAAAACCCATTGGGCTCACTGGGCCCTCGAAGAAAAGCCCAGATCTTTCTAGAAGAACCCAACCTACAACAACAAAAGACATCACAACACAACAACTCAAACCAAAATTCTATTCAATATACTTAATAATCAATTATAATCAACAATCACAATTCAGAAATCATAAACTCTTTTCATTTTCGTAACCAACACGAACTCACCAAACACGAAACACCGAAAATAATGGATTTTGAATTGAGAAGAGCGAGAGAGAAGATAGAGAAAGAGCAGAAGGAAAGAAAAGAGAAAGCGAGATTGAAAGTTCAGAAGGAAAAGAAAGCCAAAGAGGATGCTCGAATTCAAAGGGAAGCCATTGAAGCTGCTCAACGATCTCGTCGTATTGATGCCGCTGAAGCTCAACTCAAGGTATAACCTAATTCCTCTTTTCACTCTTTCGCTTTTCTTATGCGATCATCATTGGATTCTTCGAATTGATCTTAAATAGTATGTTATCAATCGATTGATTTCTATAAGATTGTGTTTGTTATAACTTTCAATTCAAAATTGAAATGCATTAGTTTGATTGGATAATCTGAGAGATGTAAGTATGGAAATGGAAGCATTAGGTTTAGATAATGGAAGATGGGTATTTCTGTGTTCAGGTTTTGCAGGAAATAGTTTGATAAAATATATTGTGTATTGATGAGTCTAGGGTTTAGTATAGTTATTACTCGGGTTTAGTATAGTTATTATTCGTGAGATTTATGAAATGTACAAATGAAGTTTAATTCTATTGATTATTCAATTTCTATGGTTTTGTAGGCTATTCAATTAATTTATTATGTCTGTCTTTTGTAAGGATTGGAGCATGTCAAATCATGATCTAGTGCGATTAACGGAATATGTTACGGAACAAACTTGTCTTTCAAGCAATTAGTTGATAATTCTGTCTTTGTTTTGTGTTTTTTTATTGTTTCTACAACATCTTTGGTTAATTTCATCTTGTATAAAAATGGGGATTACGTTAACAATTATGTTTGTTGTTGTTGTATTCTAATTATGGACAATTTAATATTACCCATATTGGTATATGCCCCCAACTTAAGAGAAGCTTCTGAATATGTATGGTGGTGTGGTTGTCAAAATTTAAGATAGCTTTAAGAAACCATATCATACAAAGGCATAAGCTGTTAGGTATATGATGCATCCCTTCAAGCGTTAACAGTGTGTTAAACGAGGCATATCATGTGCCAAGAAGTAATTTTATTAAAAAATAGGGTCGTGATTGAAGCATTGAACCAGTCGTGACTGGTTGATAGATGAGTATGTGACAAATGAGCATCACCCAAAATGACTATGCTGACAAGTATAGGTCCTTGAATGGTTTCTTATCTATAAGATTGTAACAATCAGTTGCAATATTATAACCGTCTGGTCTATTGTTTTTCTTTCTTTCATTATTTTATCCTACTGATATTGAAGTTTGAAATGTATAATTGTATTTGTTCGTCCTTACCCACTACTGATAAAGATAAACTTGCCAATCTACAAGTATGAATGTCAGTTTTATCATACTTTGAAGTCTATGGATCTTATCACTTACTCTTATGTCTTGGTTTTTAATGTGACAATACTAAATGCATGATCCTTCGTTTACTTTGCTCAATTCAGGCTGACCAACAGATGCAAGAAAACCTACTTGCTGGGAGGGGAATTGTTTTTTATCGTTTACTAGAAGCTGTTCCCTATCAAGGTAGTGGAGATAAGATCAAATTGCCTCCTTCTTGTTTTACAGACTTGTCTGATCATGGAGCTCTTGATAAGGGACCGATGTACTTTCAGTTATCATTAACTCACAAGGACGGTTCTTCAGGCATTCAAGGTACCAACGAAGAGAAAACGGGAACCACCCATTCAGGAGTTTTAGAATTCACTGCTGATGAAGGTTCAGTGGGTCTTCCTCCACATGTATGGAATAATTTGTTTTGTGAAGGTTCTATTATGGAATCTCCATTGGTTGAAGTCCGCTATGTTTGGCTTCCAAAAGGGACTTATGCGAAACTTCAACCTGAAAGAGTAGGATTTTCTGATTTGCCAAACCATAAGGCTATCCTTGAAACAAGTCTTCGGCAGCATGCTACTCTCTCTCAAGGTGACATTTTCATTGTAAACTATGGAGAACTTGAATACAAATTGAAGGTGCTTGAGTTAAAACCTTCTTCAAGTGTATCTGTTTTAGAAACAGATATTGAAGTTGACATAGTTGACCCGATTGAATTCTCAGAACAGACTCATCAACATGTTTTGATTCCAGTTGTATTTCGGACGCCACAAACCGGAACAGTAGAAGAAGGAAAGTTTGTGTATTACAAGTTTTCAATAGACAATGATACTTGGGAGAAAATTTCTAGTGGGAGTTCTAGTATCGAGGTAAAGTTAGAATCAGACACAGGTGAGGGAGATACTGATCTTTTCATTTCTAGACATCCTCTAATATTTCCCACACGACACCAGCATGAGTGGTCTTCCCATGATATTGGATCAAAGACTTTGATTCTCAGCTCTAAAGATAAAAGTTTGGCTGCTGGGACTTACAGTATTGGTGTATACGGATATAAAGGAACGACCGAGTACAAGCTATCAGTCACGATTCAAGATAATTTAAACCAAAAATTGGGTCAGCAAGCATCATCTTCCATGTCATCCATGGAATTGGATACTGAACAATGCAGGAATTGTAGGCATTACATACCCTCAAGAACTATTGCACTACATGAAGCTTACTGTAGCAGGCACAACGTTACTTGCCAGCATGAAGGGTGTGGAGTTGTTCTTAGAATCGAGGAGTCAAAAAATCACATTCATTGTAACAGGTGTGGTCAAGCTTTCCAGCAGGTGGAATTGGAAAAGCACATGAAAGTTTTTCACGAGCCACTTAAATGCCCTTGTGGAATAGTACTTGAGAAAGAGCAAATGGTAAAATGCCTCTCTCACACCCTTGTCTATTGTAGTTTTACTTTTTTATTGTTCTTTCTTTTTTTCTGCTTTCTACCTTCACTGTTTGTTCCAAATGTTTCAATTTTTAATTTTAATTTTTGTAGGTGGAACATCAAGCATCAGTTTGCCCCTTGCGACTAATTTCATGCCGGTTTTGTGGTGATATGGTTCAAGCTGGAAGTTCAGCCATGGATGTCCGTGACAGGTTAAGAGGATTGTCTGAGCATGAGAGTGTTTGTGGGTCAAGGACTGCACCATGTGATTCTTGTGGGCGTTCCGTGATGTTGAAGGAGATGGACATACACCAGATTGCTGTTCATCAGAAAGGCTAATTATGATGTGCTCAGTCTTTGCCTCTCTTAAAAATTACTTTTGTTTGTGAAGGATTGCTTCTGGGTAAATCATATAGAACTTAAAAGAGAGATTGGAAAGATGAAACGTTTGTATGTATTGGCTGGCTATCATGGGTACTAGTAGTTGTGGATGTATTACATTGTTGATCTTGATATTTAATATGCACCAAATTATGATTCTTTGTAGAAAATGTTTCTATCTTAAAGGAACCACAGAAAAGGTGTTTATTTTGCAAATATTTTAAGTTGGTTACCTAATTGGTAAAGTAAAATCTATTATACAATTTCCTTTCCTATATAATGCAATAAATTTTGCTTATATAAAATCTGCAAAATTGTCAAACAGACCACATGACAGCCTAGATTTCTAGTAAGCTGCATTGTGAAGGCAGTCATTTGGTGAAAGCTCATTCTTAGTTTACTTTGTTAGGAATAGAGAAAATCTTAACCCTAAATATATATAAGGTTTGCCATTTAACACAATTTGAAAGCCATTCATCAAGGTTTTTAGGTGTTTAAATATATATAATTTAGTGAAAGGCATTTAAAAATATGTGATAGAGAACAACCTGTCTCAACAAGCCATAGTCATGTTCCATCATTTTGGTGCTTCCATTTGGGCCACAAGTTGGGGTTACACAACTCAGGAAGCTGACAACCGTGTCGGACAGTTATATAGACTTGATTGTGTTATTCAAGATGGCATACTTTTGCTGCTAGCTAACATTGGTCTGGACAAGTCATGCTATTTGCTTCCGCACCGTAATTTTAATATACTTATTATCCACATTTTCAAAATACTTATTATCCACATTTTGTATTTTTCTTCTTTCTGTTGTTCTTCTCTTATAGTAAGCTTTACAGCCAATACAGAATAGAATAGTATTAAGTTTCACATTAGAATCTCAATTTTGATCATCATGCTCCACAATGGGACTCAATGCTTCACTACCTGTCATATTTCCCTCATCAATAGTAGAATTTAGTTTCATAAGTGAAACCACAACAGCTCTCATTCTTGGACGTCCTTTCGGATCTCGATTTGTGCATTCCTTGGCAAGCTGGGCCATCTACCAGTGGAAAAACAGGTCAAACTTGTATGATGCTGAAACTACAAAAAATGTTGATGATTCATAAATATATACCTTGCTTATAGAATCAATAGAATAGTTATCTCCTAGCCTTGGATCCACCAGCTTTCTTAGATCTTCTGTAGAATCTCCCTCTTCTCCAATAACTTCATCAAACTGACATGCATATCATCATAACTTAAATTTATATGTTTATAAATAAGGTAATGAATTGAGAAATAAAAATCAGTTACCAAAGCTACAAGGCTCTTGTATTCATCCATAGATTCATTAGTTTTAATCTCAAGACTTTCGAACTCAGTACTAGGTTTATCAATCTTGATTACAGCTGCTTTAGCAGAAATTAGTTGATAAAGAACAACTCCAAAAGCATATACATCTATCTTGCGAGAAATATGTCCGTATGCGTTTCTGCATAAACATAAATGGTAAAATTAAACTAAGTGGACTGACTCTAAGATTTCAAAACTTCGAATTCCATCATAATCAAATAAAAAGAAAAGACGAATTTGTCATACTCCGGCGGCATGTAACCAAATGTGCCTGCCACATGAATAGTATTATCTGTTGAACTTGCAGCATCAGTAAGCTTGGTTAATCCAAAATCTGCAATCTGTAATAGGAATCTTAGCTATATGATCTCCCCACCAGAAAAATAGTAAGAACTAAGAAGCTTTCCCAAAAGTACTATACCTTCCCAGTGAAGTTTTCATTTAATAAAATATTGTCTGATTTTATGTCGCGATGGATATATACAGGAACTGAATGATCATGAATATACTCAAGGCCTCTCGCCACATCGAGAGCAATTTGTATCCTCGTAGACCACGGCATCGGTTCTCTCTCTGAAAATAGTTTCACTTGATCTTTTTATGCTCAAGTTACATTAATAGAACATCATTGAAAATAGATATTCTTAATGTTATGACCTGAATTATGTAGATGCTGGCTTAAGTTTCCATTGTCCATGTATTCATATACAAGAAATAGAAATCCCTCAACACAATATCCAATCAGGTGTACCTATTTAGACATACAGTAGATAGATAAATATTTCCAAGTTACGTTATATAATTAAATCTATACAAAAATCTATGATAATGGATCTATATGTTCAAACACATACAACACATATATACCAGGTTCCAGTGATGAACACTTGTTAAGACTTTGAGTTCAGCAAGAAATTCTCTCGTTGCTTGGATCTTCATCTTTTTTATTGCAGTTTTCTGTGTAATTGTTAGTTCAAAACAAGTTTTCTTTCAAATGATCAATGCAAAGTAAATCTAACAATGCTATGATTACAAACCTTGCTTCTAAGTTCTGCAAAATAGACAGTGCCAAATCCACCTTGACCAATTTTACTATCCAAGCTGAAGTTATTTGTAGCTTTTGCTAGTTCTTCATATGAAAACTCTGTTGACTTTGCCATCATAACTCCTGTAAGGCTAGTAGCATGCCAACTAGATCCCGAAGTTTCATATTCTAAGACATCGCCAGAAATAGAAACAACCATCAGCATGATTAGCTTGTTTTCATAAGCTATCCTAGAAATTTATTGACATAACATGTTATAAATTATTTTCATAAGTTCTTTCGAATAGTGATACGGGTGTTCATATCATAAGATAAGCTCAAATAAGCAGATTAAAAGAACTTAGAAAGAATATGAATGCAAAAATATATACCATTACCATTTCGAGTTGAAAGAGCCATAGAATTTTCTTGCGGTATAGCTTTCTTTTCTTCCTTCTTTTGGAAGTATTTGACATATATACAGATAACAAACAATAGAAGCCCAAATACTCCTGCTATAGATATGCCAACAGTTGCACCCTTGGGAAAATCTGCTTATATAGAACCAAATTTAAGATCACAAGAAGCACTGACCTTCTTTATATTCTCATATTTTTATGAACAAGCATGATAATAACACTTCAGAAGGCCAAACCTGTTCTGCAAGAGAGAAATATGGAAGTTAGAAAATTACATGAAGCAGTATTTACTTCTATAACGCACATGAACAGTAAGACATTCAAAGTTACCAACCTAGGATACAAGGAAACATAATCTCCATTTTGATCTGTAAGTGACAACATGTGTCAGCGTAAGATCCAACCATTTGTATCAAGCACAGTTGAGCAGAAGATCAAAAGGTGATGGAAGAAAATTAAAATTCATACCTCTTCCGGGAATGAACACTATCCCACTCCCTTTGCTGAAGTTGACATCAGGATTGAAGTTCTGTATCAACCCTTCATCAAGTTTAGACTCGTTCGTAATCTTCTCAAGAGTATCCGTAGACCTTAACGGATAAGTAGTAAACAATCCATAATCTTTTGAAATCATGCTGTTCCCACAAGAACAGTTGACAGTGACATTAACCTTGGCCTTAATAGGTATATGATTTGGATCATAGCTGTTGAACTTTTGCAAATTTTCAACTGAAGTCAAACTTGCATAATAAGAATTTGCAATCAAATCATAAGTATCTCTTTCATTTGCTGTGTATTCAAACACATGTCCCAAAAATTCACCTCCAATACAGTCACACCCCTTCACACACTTTGATTCCACTTTGAAAAAAACACACTCCGCAAACAGAAACAATAGTAAGCTAAATTTTAATTTCATTTAATCAATAAGAAAGAGAGAAAATCAAAATGGCTTCTGACTCAAGTCCCGGTTTTTCGTGAATGTATGTTGATATGCACGCCTTTTAGATGTTATGATTGCATGTTTGGATACATTTGACTAGAGAATGTGGAGGGAGCATAGTAATGGTTGGTTGGAATAAGAGTTGACATGCATTAAATAATTCATTCATATACAGAAAATGTCAAAGAATGTTCTTGTATCACTGTTAAGAATGTAAGTACCAAATATTCTGACGCAAAAAACAAACCAAATAGCCTCCCTTGGAGGAAGTATCTTCTAACAAGAGATATCTTTTTTAGTCAATTCTCGACCCTTGATGTCTTTTCATGCCTCCATGTTAAAATTTCTAAATTGTAGGCGCATTTAATGTTTTCCCTAGAATCGAGGTGTAGGATGAGAAGCAATCATGTGCTAGTTTTGAACATGGAGAATGTTATTTTGGCGAAGCCATGAGGCACTTGGTAAGTGGTTTCCTATTATTTGCTAAAATTTGAGGTTTTCCCCAAGATATACAAAGTTGTTCCACAGCACTTGCTATGACGTGAAAATGAAACGTCCTTGAGACTCCATGTTTTTCTTTTCTTGAAGCGGATTCCTGCTTCGTGAAGCTCTACTGCTGATCGAATAATCTCTTCTCTTGCTTCTAAAGTTAATCAGATTCTTTTTGTTTCTTTGGGCATGCGTGTTGGATGGCTTGGTCCTTGTTGAATTAGGCTTTTCCTATAAACATCCAATATATGCATGCATTATCCTAAGTTGTAAGACTATATGCAAAGAAATATATGTTAATCGTACATTTTCTTTGTATCATCAACTCCTTGCTTGCAAACTTGTTGTTACAGTAGCCTGTTTCTTGTGATTTCTATGAAGAAAAGAATATCAAAGTCGGAAGCATCAAACTTGAAAGCCAAGACGATTTTAAAATGAAATGCGGAAAGCAAAGAAATAACTTTTCAGCTAATGGATTAATGAACTCAATTTTTCTCTGATACATAATCTGTGGAATCGTGCCTAATTCAAATTGTTACTATATTTTGCATTATCTATTGTCTTCAAGTTGGAAAAAAAAACATATTGCCCTTTCTAAATAGAAAAAACACTTATATACAAAGTGTACGTGTTACAACTTCACTAGAAATAATTACATGATGTCTTTTTGAGATCTAGGACCTTTTGACCATTTTGGGAAATAAACTTTGAACACAAAGTAAAAAACTTCCCAACTACTTC